CCGCTTGGAGAGGTTCTGACGGCTCTCCCGGCCTAGGCGTACGGCTAGTGCCCGCACTCGGCCCCATCTTCTGGCTTTCAGCTGCTCTCGAACTCGAGCAAAAAAAAGCTGGTCTGCTTCCTGCGAAATCGTTACAATTACTGTAGGCGCAGAGGGAGTTGCAGGTCGCCTGACTGAACCTTCGGCTGGAGTTTTTACTACAATTCACAGAAGCCACGTCGCTTAGAGTCCTGTTTGTATTGTTTTCTTTTAAATCAGCTGTGAGGATAAGAATCTAAATGGTGCAATGAAGGGTGTAAAGCAACGCACTACTTTAAGCAAACCTTCCGGCAACCCTATAAAAAGGTTATGATTATCTTCCTATTCGACGATAACAGCCAGCAAATAAACCCAGGCCTGAGGAGAGTTAAGAGAATTTAGGACTTCCCAATGTTTACTCCAGGTTGCGATCCTCTGATAACGCACTAGTAAGGAGCAAGTCTTAATGAACTCATGAGGCCTCACGTTGTAGTAGGTATCCATTACTATCACAGCAACTAGCATAATCCAAGATGGGGAAGTTACTTTTTAGACTACGACTCCTAAAATCCTTAGCTAGGATTGCCAGTGGGAGAGTTACTTTTCAGATTAGGAGAATCTCCAGCCAGGATTGCCAGCGGCCATGGTGGCTGTGTGTTCTAGGAACTGTAGCCATAAAAGTAACGTCTGGCATCTAGTACACGTGTTCTGAGTTCTTAACTCTAGAGGACTAGAAAACTGCAACTAATATTCATTTTTGAATAAATATCGTGTCCAAGAAAAGGCTGGGGGTTTTTTAAACTTTTTTTTAAAAAAAAAACGAGCGTTGGGTTGTTGTTTTGTAAGCTGCCTGCAGTTAGGGCCAGGCGGCATAGAAAAATTGTAAGCACAGTTATGGAAGAGTTTCAGTGAGACTGTCCGCAGGACCATCTAAAAGCAGATAAATAAAACTCGTCCTGCCCTCTGGGGCTAAACGTCCACGGAAATGTGTGTCTGGGGTTACAACCTTCCAGCAGTTTCCTTAATGTCGTGACTCCTGCCAATCATCGTTCCTCAAGGGACGCTGTCTATCATAATAGATGTTGGAACCGGGTAGTGATTTTGACAGTACAGCCAGCCAGCTGTTCTAAGGTCGCCCCAACTAATTTGGACTAAAGAGGAAATCTCCCAGGTCAAATTCTTCAGGGAGGTTTAGGGAGGTTCTGACTGGCAAGCAGTTCCAACCCTATTTCGGTTTCAAGAAAGAAGCAGCCCCAAGGTCCGCCTGCTTGATGGGATAAGTCCCACTTTGTTTAACAGAATCTGAAATCCTTTAGGCTACGATCCTATGCACATTTGTGTACGCGCGTGTCTGCGTGTGGGTGTGGGTGGAGAGTGTTTAAATCTAATTTGAACACTTATGGTAGGGTTAGGTTGTTAGACTGTTCACCCTCAGGCACAAATCTCCTTGAATTCTGGGCTATACATTCGGATTGCGATCTAGAAATAATGTGTAGAATTCGCAGTAAAATCTGTTACGGTCGCAGTGAGTTTTGGAAAAAGGGGGGGGACCCTATCAACATACACACACTTCCTGGGTCGCACCGTCAGAGCCTATGTAGATCTGATCTCCCACACTCCTATCTAAAATCCATTAATTAGAGATGTAACCCTCTGAAATCAATACGACCTTTCCAGAAAATTTACTTTAGGCGCAGAGTACCAAACGCACGGTAATCAAACCCGGCGAAGCCGCTCCGCAAGCAGAAATCCCGTTCAATCCGGAAAACAAACCAGAATAAAGTTATGTGGCTCCAAAATTTGCGGATCATAGCAAGCCTGGGTTAAAAGCAAACAAAAGTCAGCAAACAATTCCTTCCTTCCTTTGCTTCAGGGGCAAAGTTTGCAAAATCGCTTTCCTTCTTCTTCTTCTTCTTCTTTTTTAAAGTGAAGCCTTCCAGAGATGTTGAATTTTAAGCGAAGTCCAGTTTCCAGCGAGGTCCAAAATTCAGCCATGGGACTAGAGGTTTCTCCCGTAATACAAGCAGCAGCCCTATAAAGCGAAAGAAGGCAGCACGGGAAAGCTCGTATTTCTGGTGACCAACCGCTCTTCAGAGGAACGGATGAAAGTTCTCCGCTTTTTGTTCTTCCAAGTAACTTTCCATTTTCATTCAAACTTTTCCCCCCCGTGCGGAGCCTTGCAGTTTGGTTTCCAACCGCTTGCAAACGGCGGAGCCCCATTCCGACGGGATGCATTCCAACTTCTCCAGCAAGCCCAGGTCCTCTTGAGAGTCGTCCGGAAGGCGTGCGAGCGCCGGAGGCCTCTTAAAACCAAACCAGGGAAGGCCTCCGGAGGAAAGTTGACGCGGGAGACGCGAGACCCCACTTCCCGGCGGGGGGCGCGATGTGGTGCCTTCGTTTCGCTTCGCTTTCCTCAGAAGGGGTCGCGTTGCCACGCTCTACGTTTGGGAAAGCGAAACCGTGGCTCTTCTGAGGATTTATTCCTGGTGTTTCTGGCGTCGGTGGCGCAGAACATATTTAACCAGAGCCCCCTTGAGCATACGCAGAACGCCTTTTCTCACTCCGGTAATTGCAACCAACCAGGCGCGCCAAATTAAGGGCTCAGGGTTTTAAATTCCTGCACCTCTCCTTTTGCAAATTATGTACTGGTGCTTCCGGCTGCAGTGCCCTACTCAGACGACGGGACAGGAGTTTCAGCTTGTAGGAGACGTCTTGGAGGAAACTAGGATCCCCGTGATCATTTCCAGAGTGTCTTTTTCCATGGACTGAGAGCTGGCTGGCCCGGCCCCAAGAAGCGATAAGTTGAAAAAAGCCCGCACACTGGACGCGGCGAAGTATGGCGACCCCCCCCCCAACAAGCCCCCTGAACTTGCCTTGACTCAATCTCCAGCCTTCTCGACGTTCCGTCTTTACGAAGCAAGAGGCGAAATTGAGAGATGGCTGAGGATCAAATTAAGCAGAGGCAATTGACACACAGATCTCCCTTTCTACTTTAATGAAGATCGGCCGCCGTGATCAAAACGTTCGTCGGTGGATTTCCTAATCAGAAGCCTGAAGACTTGGTTGTTGCTTGGTTTGTTGTTGTTGTTGTTGTTTTAAAAAACGTATGCCGTTATAGCGTTTGGTGGTGAAGATTTGGGATGTTCAAAACAAGGAGCTTTCCAGTTTCAGTTGCAGCCCGCGTCCTATTCCAAACCCCAGCGACTCGAAGAAAATTTACCAAATCAGCATATTTTCTCTCTAGCATACCCATTAAAAAGCCATCTCCTGACCCCACCCTGCGTGAATTGTGCCATTGTAAGCAGACATACCAGTGGAGTCTACCGGTTTAATCCTTTGCATGTTTATTCAAAAGTCGCCCTCGACGAGTCGATTAGTCCTGTGGGGTTTACTCCCAGGTAAGTGGGCATGGAACTGCAGCCGCAATAATGAGGAAGAGTTTCAGATTTAGGCTTGATTGCTATCGCTTATCGTCTTAGCCTTCTGCAACGCCTTCCACTGAAATGAGTGCACCTTATTTTCGAGTTTTAAAGAAGTGTGTTTACATAAATAAAATAAATATATGAATCGCAGAATTGAGGCACATTTTATCAGTGAATTACGGTTTCGGAGGAATAGGGATTTTAAAATCTACTCACGTGCCTCCGCTGAACAACTGGAAAGTAAAATGGTCTCAAACAAACAAACAAAACACCAGCACCATTTGCAACAAGTGAATTATACCCTAAAATCGTGATTTTAAAACGCAGCTCCACGACTCCCAGGGAATAACAAGACCCAGAAGTGGGCTGCCTAAGCGCTACGAGGCAACCACATTCTTTTACAGTTTTTCTTTTAAAAAGAGAATTTGAAAAACTGTATGGGGGGGGAATCTAAAGTGAGAAAGATCAACGTCGTAAATATAATTGTTTTTCAAACGTGGGGGATAGGCAGTCTTGAGGCACTTTTAAAAGGAACTGACTTGATGCTCTCAAAAGTTAGAAAAGCTTCATTCCCGCAAACGCTCTTAATAAGACTTCGCACAACTTCGAGACAATCCAGAGATCTGTACAAAACTTTTCGCCAATACTGGGGCCGGTTCCCTCTTCCCCCCTCTCCATTTTCCCAGAATTGTGGGAAGTATCAGAGTAGGTACCTCAAGGAGAGAAGCTGGGGGTCCCGTCGGTGTTGTAGCGCCCCCGCTGTTAGTCAGCGGCCAGGTCTGGGTGGAACTCTGGTACTCTTCTCCCCCCCTCCCCGCCCCGTTTTCGCGGTG